TTTGTTTTTTTGGATTTCTATACTTTCATAAAGTTCTCTTTTTTTGGTGTTACGTTCTGTTAGTAGTACTTTAACTTTTTGAAAATTAAATGTGTTTTTGGTGTTTTCGCAATGGGTATGAAGAGCTGTTTTGTTTTTTTTTTGTCATACTTATGTCCGTTGATTGTATTTTTTAAATATTGGCTTGTTTGTCCTATATATACACTGTCGCAATTAGAACATGGAATTTCATATACTATATTGCTTCTTTTTTCAACTGGAATTTTTGCTTTGAGTTTAGTGAAGACATATGTTTTTTGTAAATTATAACTTTTGTGTCCTATTTGAATTTTGTGTTCCTTGAAAATGGTTTGGAGGTTTTCTGATAATCCAGGTAGCGATATATATTTTCTTTGAGGATTTTGATGTTGATTTTTGTTTACGTTGTTATAAAATTTGTTGGTACGTTTATTAAACATATTATTTATTAAGTTTATGGGATTTTTCAATTGCATCTGGTCTATATTCTGGATCAGATAACATTATTGCTCTGTCTGCGAGACCTATTATGACGAATTTTTTTTGGACTAGGGAATGATTAGATTTAAAATTTAGATAACATGATGATTTTGTTTCCTTAGTATACCAACTTGTTCTTATTTTATTTTGTATGTTATGTAGGGATAAGTCTAAAAAGTGAATAGTATTTTGGTTCTCAATTTCAATTGTGAATTGTAATTTTTTGTGGAAATTATTGAAGGAGTTTAGCAATAAGTCTGCTTTTCTTTTTGAAACTGCAGTTATGATGTCGTCGACATATCGACAAAAAAAAGGTAAATTGAATTGAATGTGTTTAATAACATTTTCTTCTAGATACTCCATAACAAGTTGTTTTACTATGCTTGAAATTGAAATACCCATGGCACAACCTTCGACTTGTTTATAGAACATATTTTTGTATTGAAAAAATGTGGATTTTAGTGTAAAATCTAAAGCCATTAAAAATTCATTGAGAGGAATATCTGTGTGTAATTTAATTTTATCCCATTTTGTTTTAATTACTTGTGTGATAAGCTCGAAGGGTATGTTGGTATATAATGATACGACATTAAGCGAAACTAGAACGTAGTTATTTGGTATTGTTAAATTTTTTATTTTTTGTTTAAACTTTATCGAGTCTTTTATGTAAAATTTATTTTGATTTGCTACGTTTTTTAAAACATTTTTTAAATATTTAGATAATTTTTCTGTTGGTGATTGTATGCAGGATACGATAGGTCTTAATGGGATGTTGGGATTATGCAGTTATATATATATATATATATATATATATATATATATATATATATATATATATATATATATATATATATATATATATATATATATATATATATATATATATATATATATATATATATATATATATATATATATATATATATATATATATATATATATATATACGTATTTAGTCGAAATACATAATTGTGATAATAATTTTTTTAAGTATTTCGGGAAATTTGATGGATTTCATAAAGGATATTTGGAAAATTAAATGTGTAGACAGAAAAGGTTTTTGACTATCTCCAAAGGGTAGAAAGATCAATAAGAATAATGATAATTGGATGTCACTTTTCTAAGCATTTTTAACTGAACAGTCTATTCTAATCAACACACATCATCGCCACAGTCGCACTGTGGCTAGTATAGCAGTAAAAGAGTCGGTTCAACCCAAAAGATACCACGCCGATAGGTAATAAATTTAAATACAAATCAATGAACATATTAAATGGATTACTGATACAATGGTCAGAATAATATGTTTTCAATTTTTTTGTAAAATAAGTAATAAAAGCTTAATATAATTTCTATCTCGTGCCGACAGCGTTTTATTATCAAAGAAAAGTAATGGTGAGGATCTAAATCAAATGAACGCCGACTATTTCGAGCAATAGTTGGAGGAGTCGTTAATTCCCAATTTATACAAAAATGGAGAAAAAAAGTTGTTGTGAATGACGCTGCCTAACACTCTAAATGTAGTTATCCAGTCACCTGAGAGAAAAACAAGAGAACATGTTGGTATCGTTTTTCATTGAGTTGCTGTATGCTGCTATACATGTATCTGCTAATGTCAGGAACTGTGAATTTTAAAAGCCAAATTACCAAAATAATAAAATTAAAAAAATATATATTAGCGCCTTCACAAGAAAAATTAGTAAAAGTAGATTTCAAAGAAAATATTTACCAATTACTTTTAATACATATTCTACATTTCGTGTCTCCAAAAAATGTCATTATACATATGAGAATTTGTTTTTCCTTTAAGGGATGGAGAATATTTTTTATGTTATATTTTATCAAAATTTCGTATACAACATCATTCTAAATACTTCTTTAAAATATTTTTTCATTAAAGGCCAGTTTCAGATGAAATTTTTTCAATTTTATTCTACGTGATCACTTAACTGATGTCAACAGTATATTATGCAACATGTGCGGCATTTGTGCCACGAGTTTATTTGACACAGCGAGTATTTAATAAACGAGTAACGTAACGAGTAACGTTTACCTAACTTGTTGCATACTATACTTTGTCTACGACGCTTAGGTTTTGGGTACATTTTCGCAAAACAACACGAATACACTCACTGACGTGACCATCAGAATTGACAAACGTCACAATTCAAGGCGTGGCTCAGATCCGTGGGAAACAAACCTAACCGCTAGATTGGTTTGTAATTAGGCATTTTACGGCTATAGAAAAAATATATAGTTAGGCTATCGGAAATCCGGTAACATGACAATATATCTAAAATCTATATCTATATCTATATGTTTATTTTATCAAAATGGAAATCAAAAAAACCTTCCTTGTTGTTTTTGTTTAATATATGAAATAATTGATTACCGTGGACCAAGTTCTTTAGGAAAATTAATTTGAAACAATTGAAAATCCGACCCAATTTTAGACTCTATCAATCACAGTATACACCATTGCATTGACAATGGATCGTTCTTGATTAGACAGACGGACGTACTTTCGATGGGGAGAGAAGAAGCGGAAGCCCATTGTTGAATATAACTCTCGAATTTTTTTAATCAAGTTTGGGGGGGGGGGTATACCTTTTCTATAAACGTGGTGAGTAGCATAAAACGTCAGATATATAAAATAGCATTTTCGTACACCATGAAATTAGATACGATACGGAAAAGTTATTTGCTTATCTGCGTCAATTTTATATAAAAACGGTGAAATTTTCATTTATCCATCATAATTAGCGCACAAACTTAAAACGAGAAGAAGAAAATAAACACTATATAGTACTGGCAATTAAAATTTAACATTTGTAATAAAAAACTCCGAAACGGAAATCCTTGTTACTTGGTCGTTTTGGCATTGGTTGGATTAGTAAGTAACATTTTCCTCTATTACCATCCAATACAATCCAGGAGTTAAAGTTTAGTGTAATTAACATGTCTTAAAAAATCAAGGATAATATGTTTTGTTGTGTACTATGAGTATTGGCACTTGAGTTGCATACATTGACACTTTCTAAGTTATAAGCCGACCATTGTGTATAAATACAATATGTTTTGTTTTTGTTTGTTATTTGAGTTTGTCTATAAGAACAATGTGCTCTGGTAAGGATTTAAGCAAGTGAGCTCGCTTCTTCAGGTTTAACACTATTCGGATTGAATTTAGGTGATCAAATAATTTTTCAGGAGTTATAATTTCAGTTGCGACTCTATACATAATTTTGTTTGAAACTTTTTTATTTCTCACTTTAGTGACACAAATAGAGTAGGTATAAAATGTTGTGAAGATGTGCTAATCTTGTGTAATGACAGTGATTCCCAATCACTCTGGCTGACCAGCAACGTATTCTTGATAGAAATTATCATTGGGGACATAGTTTTCGTTGCTATTTTGTAGGCATTCTAAAAGAGGCAAAACAAATTTGAATCAACTATCCCGGTGTTACTTGGTCCACCTATCGCTAATTAGTAAACTAACCTCTCAATGCAAATCGACTTTTCTGTTATTTATAATGTTTAGAACAGGTACCGCATTTATAGCAAAAGTTATGGTTTTAATACTTACCAAAAATCGCTATTATAAAATCTTTTAAAAAATTGCTATGCAGTAAAGCTTCCACAGTCTGACGTATTTCGCTAGAAGTAGCGGAGTGCATCCAGAGAAAATCCATCTTCAGCGGTGATCCATCTTTTTTAGAAATATCCTATTAGAACTTCCCAAAACTAACCAAATTACGCTATCCACATAATGATATAATATGCATATAAATATGAGAATCAACTAGAATCACAAAATATACCCCATCCTAGCAAAGATGTTTCTGAAGGAAGTGTTAGTTAAATACATTGGTCCCTTTGAAAGTCGCACGAATTTTTTAGGTGGAACTTTTGATTTACTATTTTTTGTAAAAACGAGGGTAGAATATAGGATTTAGGAAGTGACTTAAAAGTTCATGTTTCTAAGATACATGTTTCACCATTGCATTGATTACCATCCTTAAACGCTGAAATTTTTGCATCACAATCTGTAGTTTATAGTTCGACATGACTAGTCATTATACCAACCGAGACGAATTCTTGTTTATATGGATTTTTATTTTCTGGGACAAAGCGGTCTATTCAAATCCACCCTCCTCGCAAGGGGTTAAGTCTTTCGATTAAAGCGGGGCAAGGCGTCAAATATCGGGACGAAGGGTACACCCTTTTTTACGTCCATTCGTTCGGCGTATTGTTGTCAAAACGCGAACCGAGCTTTCATGTGCTCGAATTTCTATTCAAACCTTATTTTGCATGTGTTTGTTTCCTTAAGATTCCTCGCCCCCAAACCTCCGTTCATGTTCGCTGCAGATGGTTTTAATTACCAATTTAGAGAGAAATTACTGTTCGCCCTTTCTAGCTAGGGAGGAAAAATTAAACACTTTTGATTTCCAATTAACTTTGAACTTTATTGTATTTGCTTCAATTTAAATATGTTGGGAAAAACAGAGCATTTGCCAATGACAACTGCTTACGATAGTCTAGACCAAACAAACTTTTAAGCACGGCCGACATAGCTTGGCATTTTTTAGTGATTTTCTTTCTACAAAGGTTAGGTTGTGTGTTTTTATTTTGATGTGCATGTCGACTGCACAATTTAACACAATGCATCAAAAGTGTGAGCATGTTGCATAGTTACATAGCCTATTAGCATTGGTGCCAATTATGAAGTCATTAAATTGTTTCATTATAATATTATTGTTATAATAAAATGTGTTTCAGAAGCTCTCATAACTTACGAGCTTTCCGAGGCCGTGGCGGATTCCACGACACCTTGGTATTATCAGTAACCGAGACGATTTTCAATCCTACCATTTCCAATCCTTTGGCAGCTGCTATCCTACCAGGACCCAAGCCACCAATTCTTACACGAACCGTGCGGAATCCTCTTTCCAGGATAGCTTTCCCGATCGATATGGCAGTGGCCTGAGTTGCTACGCTGGTACCTTTCTTAGCATTTTTGAAACCTTCCACTCCGCACGATCGAATCAATAAGGGGACGTACTTCGCATTCGTAAAGGAAATAATAGTATTATTTTTGGTCGCTTTTATGTTGCAAATTGGCAAATCGGAATAACGAATACCGTTGAAGAATTCCGACTGACTATCGGGACCTGGATATAATTTCTGATCCGATATAGTGTCAGGAGTTAGCGAGTGTTCACCTGTCGTCCCTTGATCCAAAGCTGGGGCAGATTTTAACATCAATTTTCTGTCTTCAACTTGCCTGTGATGCAAACAACTCGTCGAAAAACATCTTTGAGTTATGCGCGGTAAATGATACATTTTAACATTAGATCGATCATAAACTTGACAGCAAGCTGTCAAATGCGACGCTGTCAGCAGTTGTGTGCACCAAAATATATTATGTACGCCTCATCAACGTCACTTAATAGTGGACCGTGCTTTGCCATTTAAAGTTGTCAAAGTATGAAGGCAAACAACAATATACAGTAATAATAGTGCGCATGCGCGTGTGCCATTTTTATACCGCAAAAAGAGGCACGTTGTGAAAAATGGCATTACTTTTGTTGTTTTAATTTTTAGGTTTAACAAACTCATGAATCTGCGTGGCAGCAGCATTTTTGCCAAATAACATTTTAATCAATGAGTGTTAGATAGAGGAGAAGGTAGCGTATACTGTTACGAATGCCATCTATTATTTGTGTCCAAGTACTAAAGTACTGTCATGGCGGTTTAAAGTAATGCGTCACACTGAAAATACTACAGTAGCTTGTAACGGATAACAGCACTTTATTTATATTTTAATACAAAAAAAAACTATTTGGACATTTTTTTTTCACATTTTACCTTTCAAGCTTTAAATTGAATTGAACCGCGTTTTCGGTTTTCATGACTGAGGCGTTAAAACTCATGTACGCTTTTTAACATTGCCACTAATGGGGAGCCTTCCCCTCTATCTTATACACTTTGATTTTAATTCTATATGTGCTTATTATTATACCCATCGAATATCCTTCATGCTTAGCAATAACTGTTTCAATTCATTTCTTGACTTATTTTTTGTGTTTTCTGTAAATGGCATTTGAATAAATACAATAGTTGTTTAATAATATACATAGAAATAATATAAAATATAATTTAATTTCTTCATTCACGGTAAAATAAAAAGGGTTTTATATATAGTGAATGCGCAGACTCTTTAGTTGTTTAGTTGTTAGTCAAAGTTTAGTTAAAAGGTAAATAGTTGGAACAAAGAAAGTAAGTGGTTAGTTTTGATACATTGGCTCTTTTCAACTCCATTTTTATATTCGTATGCACATTTGATCATAATTTTTGATAGTATTCTTCTGTACTTTGGCGTAAATGTCGGAATACCGACTTTGACCAAATTGCTAAACAAATATCGGGGGTAAACACAGTTAATTATTGAACGACGTTATTCCGTCATAAAAATGTGGCCGTAAAACTTACGCGTCAGATTAATCAGTTAGTCAATTTACCCTACGAATAGGATATTTAATATTTTGTTTGTTTAACAAGACCTTCACAATCGACGCCATAATAAAACATAATTGCTTTTCATTACTTTATTAGGAGAAAAAATTTATTGTTGGACATAAAAGCAGAGTGTGTTACGGATTTTCAAGCACAACGTGGGGTTATTTTGTTGTCCCTTTGATAGGTCAGAAATGTATGGCAATCAAATTGTTGACGCTTTTAAAGTTCACCCAATTAAAATTGTGATTTTTACACAACTTGAAGTTTAATTATCAAAAGAACCCAGGCAAAATTTATCAGTTGCACTAAAAAATTTAAAATAATTTTGAGTATTAATTTTATTCCTAATATGTCAGCCAAGAAAGCTAAAGCTAATCAAAATTTCTAGCCCAAAAATTGATTAGGTAAACAATTTAATTTTGTTTCGATTCTTTTTTTCATATAAAATGGGGGTATTTATTATATCTAAAAAATCACCTACCTAATTAAAAAGAATCTTAAAGTTGTGAACTAAAAAATATAGTCTATTTATTTTAAATAATGACTAGTAAAACCTCCGATGAATTAAATCTATAGTGACGTCACGTACCAGTAAATAATATTGTTACGGTGATAGCGATTGTCATAAAGTAACTAAATAAATGGACAGTTTGTTGAGGTCTGATCTGTTTCTGTTGTTTCTTTATGTCGTGTCCCTAAGATCAGTGGACGACTTTGCAGAGCGAAATATTTTTGCCAGATTGATTAATATATATCAGATAATGTAGATTCCATTTGGACACAAGAATATTGAATTTTCCTCTGAAACAAATGATTGAAGAAAGCAATATGATATTATACTTGTATCATAACTGATATAGTTACATTTTTCTAAAAACTTTCTATTCAACCATAATCAGAAGTAGTAATAGCATCAGTGCGTTGCAATCAGAATTAGTAATAGCATCAGTGTGTTACAAATATTTATTTGCATTCGATTTAAGTAACCATTTCTTGCATCAAATTCTACTTAGTAAAAATCCATAGAGTCAGGCGACAAATAAGCCGTCTCCATTTTTGAACAACCATTGGGAACAGATCTATTTCTTTCCTGACACCTCAATATCTTTCACGCCATTCATCGGCACTTACTTGTATATAAGATTCGCATCAAGGAATTTCATTACGGCGCCATATTATTTATTATACGCTCATTGAAACCCAGCAATAAGCGGGATAATCCAACGCGTCTCGCGGAACGTCACTCGAACATTCATTTGCATGATAAATTTCCACAACAACTTGAAATGATAATACGATTTTAGTAGTGAAAGGTGAAAATAAATTGATTTCGCGTTCCTGGTGACATATTAATGCACATATTAAGATTTGTGACGTTCGTGAGTGAGCGGGGAATCAGCTCGAAATTGAACCGAAGCGTTTCGGGTGACGAGGTCTACTTTTCTGGCCATTTGCGTTTATAATCCAAGCGGAATTACTTAGGGTTGGAAGTGACATTTAATATGCGACATTCAATATGAAAATGAGCCAAAAAAGGGACATACTGCAAATAGTTAGGTACCTGGTATGTAGTTTCTTTTTTTCTAGTCCATTCGTTCGTGACTTGAAGCAACACATTACGTTAATGATGATGATTATGTTATTATATGTTTTCAAATTTCATTCCTATTCCATACGATATTATCGATATTTGTAGTTACATCAGGAACACAGATCTTTCTTTTCCAAAACTATTAATCACAATTTATGTAGAACACTCTGGATAAATTATATTATAGCAAATTATACATATTTTCTTTTTAACAAAAATTTAGTTACATACGAGGGCAGCGCCAAAATTTCCCGGCCTGACTATGAAAGAAACAAAGTAGAGCAACAATTTTTTATTATTTTTCAATATAATCCCCCTTAACTTCAATACACTTATTACATCTCTTTATTAACAACTCAATTCCTTTAAAAATATATTTGGTTTGTCTGCAAAATGAGCTAAAACAGCCTCTTTTAAGTCAATTTCGTCGTTAAAGCGCTGTCCACGTAAGTCCTTTTTCAAATATTCAAACAAATAATAGTCGCTGGGGGCCATATCTGGACTATAGGGAGGATGATCTATCTGTTGGAACCCACACTCTAAAATGGCAGGTTGTGCAACACCAGCAGTATGGACAAGTGCATTATCGTGCAAAAGACGCACGCCTCTGGTCAGTTTTCCTTGACGTTTTACACGTAAGTCTCGCAATTTATGTCATAATATTGCGTAATATTTACCATTGACAGTGGTATTAGTTTCTTTAAAATCTATCGAAAGAATTCCTTCACAATCCCAAAAGATCGTGGCCATCACCTTTTTTGTTGCCTGGTAGACTCTCAATTTTCATGGAGGTGCTTCACCCTTACGACGCCACTCCATTGATTGTTTTTTCATCTTCCGTCACAATAGTTTCTATCACAGGGTTCGGTTCTGACCCACAGAGTTCCAACAAAGACCGCGCACACTCGACACGGCGTTGTTTTTGAATAGCTGAAAGGTTTTTAGGAACCCATCTTACACTAACCTTATGCATACCTAAATGATCATGCAGGATTCGGCGAACACTTGTATCAGAAAGCTTAGTAATTTCTGAGATTTCCTTGACCTTTAAGCGTCTTCCACAATCGCAACAAAATCTTCCGTTATTCTTTCACTACAGAATACGAAGGAGAGACATTTTTTCGGACACGTTTTGTTTAAAATGCTGTCAATAAAAAACTGTTTGTGACGCAAGACTTCAATTTTTTTTCGCAGCCTACTAAAATATATATATAAAAGAAGACAAAGTTTTATCGTGATACTGGAGCTGCATCAGCATGCATGTCAGGCCGGGAAATTTTGGCACTAACCTCGTACTTGTGTTGATGTGTGTTTTATAAAAAAAGAAATTACCAAAACAATTTTGGGTATGGAGTTACAGAAAGCAATCGAAGAAAGCTGGAAGCAACTGATATGCAGAAGATTGTTAGGAATATCCAGAAGAGAAAAAATTCAAAACGACGTACCTCAAAGAATGGAAGTAAAAGGTTCTTTAACAATTGACGTTAAAAGAAAGCAACTCGTGTGGTCTGGACATGTCCAAAGGGTGCAAGCGGGACAGCCAAAATTGTTTATTGAGTAGGTACTGCCAAACCGTTAAGGTGTCTTGTGTTGAAGGTATCTAAGAAAAATTGTTTTTCTACTCCCTTCTCTAAAAGTGTGATTTTACTAAGTCAGTTTCGTTTCTCCGGGAACCGAACCACTTCGGACATTGCTGGGATATTATCGACCGGGTTTGACGGCAATCGAATGTTTTCGAAGATATTTCCGACTACTTGAACTTGAATTGCCAATTCTGACGGTTATGTCAGTGAATGTATTCGTGTTGTTTTGAAAAAATGTACCCAAAAACTGGTCGTAAACTATTTAGTTTAAAACTATTTAGTTAATTAAATATTCGCTCCGCTCGTACCAAATGGCTCAAATGCCGTTTACCACACTTGTTGCATGATATACTGTTATATGTTTACTGAAGGCGGACTAAGTTTTAAATTTTAAAAATGGGTTTATTAACTATGTTTTCATTTTTAAAATAGAATGGAATATTATTTATTTTCCTCGGAGCAAAATACGAAAACTGTTTGAACATTCAGCTCCTTATTTTCATTTTTGAAATAGCAAAAAACAATACTTTTTACAAAACTTCTGGATTCCTCCTGAGTCGAACTTGCTGACTAAGACAAATAAACTCATCAGCTGTTGCCGAACACACTCATGAAACCGGACATAAAATGTCATTCGATAAAACTAAAATTTTTGCATGTAATCAGTTCTTCTACCAACGA